TTGAAATGAACTCACCTCTTTTAAAAATACCATCCCTCTAAACAGGAAAAGGTCACATACATGATAATATAAGGTGTGAACCAGTATTTCTAACATTGAATAGAACATAATGTAACAACATTTTTGTGGCTATCACTGGATAGCCTTTCTCTTGATCATGCTGTCGAAACATACAAATACGAATGACGTATGTAACGTGTAATTTGAGACCAGGTACAACAAAAGAATTTCAAACAAGGTCTAGCTACAGGCCCCCTGAGGAAATCTAGTCACATTGTTCGCTACAGTTTGTCTCGAAGAAACAGACTAATGTGTTTATCAGATAATTGGACGGACATCATAAACCTGTTTTTCAACCAGTAAATTAATCAGTTTATCAATAGACATATTAACAAAGTTGTTTTTCCCTGTGCATCTATTCAAATATTCTTAATAATTTAAACTCTTGACACCATTCTCAACTATTCCAGAACATATAATTATTTTTCAATTTTTTAACCCAAAATGTTTTCAAAAATTTAAAGCTGATCTGAAAGCACTGAAAACATGCTATTCAGTCTTAAAAGGGGCGAACCTGTAAAATTTGTAGCATAAGCCATTACATTAATGTATAGAAACTCGCAATTCTTTATAAAGAATAACACCAATTTGCTACAATGAACCTCCCCTTTGACTCCATTAAACAACCTCTCCAAGCAATTCAAGTTTCGCACTGTGTATTTTTTACAAATAATCCCAGACAAGACAGCGTCAGTAGGTTCTACGAACTTGTCACGCAGTGCTTGTGGGGGCATTGACTATTGTTGGGGGCTGTATGTAATATGACGATACACCCCTCACCAATGGCTGAACATTCCACTAACACCTATAGCGACGGGAAATCGCGACACACCAAGATAGACATGTTGGTTTTGACATACCACTGACAGCACTTGCATGAAATATATACATAATTACGAGAAGAACCAATTGTGACTCTTTGCGACAGTCAGTTCATGCATGAGTCCTTAATTGCTAATAATTACTTGATCCTGTTGTTTATCAAGTAGAACTGAAAGGTTTATGATATTAACATATTATTTACCATCAATAGATTTGCATTTCATTATTGACAGCTGATAAGCTGGAGTGTACACTGTGTGAGAGACGTGATAGGTACATGACAAGGTTTTGACACCTCTGAAATATACAGTCAAATGTCAATGTTTCGGCTGTTGCTTGCATGCTTCTGTAGATGCTAAGGAACTGATTGTAAATAAGACTAATTATACTGGAGGATGTACAAGCTTTTGTTCTGAACTTATACTATGCCAAATGTTTTTACCATGACAGCTTGTGCGTATGACACCAAAATAATATCTCTCTAGTAGTGTAGGTATACTACTTCTCTCTCTCTCTCTCTCTCTCTGTGTAAACTTCACATTATTTACTTGTACTGACTTTACGATGGAAAGTCTTGTCATTTCCTAAATTTCATTAACTTTGTTGGATTTCCCATCACATAGTTGATCTTACAGATATTGCAATCTATTGATTCTCTATTCGAATAACTTGTTTTAAGATCATTAGGATGTTAGTGTTTAAGGAACTAAAAGTATATTCTTCTAAATGTTTGTAATTTGAACCATATTATGAAACAAATAGTCCCGAAAGCAATGCTTATGAAATAACAGAAAGATTGATACATGATATAAGATCAGATTTGTATATTTTGCAATAACAACGTAGAGACATAAATGTCACAGTTTTAGCAATTTGTATTAAGAATATGATAAATATACATTTTTTCACTTCTTCTGAGTTCTCTCGTCATAGAAGGCAACTAACAGGATTTGGTGGTCCGGTTCGGTGACATGATTGATGCATGTCATTGTATCCCATTTGCTTAAATCAATGCTCATGATATCAATCCCTGGGTTGTCTAGTCCAAACTCGATTATTTACAGACTGCCGTCATATAGCTGGAATATTGCTGAGTGTGGCGTTAAACAAACACACAAAACAAACAAACAAAAACAATCTCACAGGAAATGTTCAAAACTGGAGGTACAAGTTTAACTTTGGTGGTAAATTAATACATTCATCACAATAATGGCACCGTACAAACTGAATACTACGTCTACCTACTTCAACCACATATATTAACACAGAATTGTAGAAATTCACCTCAAAGAAACGCCTAGACAAAATCTTTAACAAATATAATCAGTGAATTTTCAAAGCATTAAATTCTTCTGAAAATCATTAATGACCAGATTCTGTCTCCTAACAGTTAAAACTTGAGCAAAATGTCAAGTAAGGTCAAACAAGGTCAGCATTAACGAATTGTGAAGCAATGGCGATGATTTTTCCTGAATATGATTGACAGGCGGGAAGACAGACAAGTGACAACTGTGTAATTGACAGCCCCATTGATTGATTGATTCTCACACACTCCTGTCACTAACCCACAGCCAAACTCATTCACCATGGCTGTTGTCACTTTGTTTATGTTGCCAATTATTTATTTATTACTCCATATATGCGATCAATCATAAACCATTACTTATTTTGCACTGCTTTGAGGCGACTCCTACATATATGGTATACCACTCTATGAAGTGATTGCTATTCTAAAAGGTTGTCAATAGCAGTGCATTATCAGAATACGCTAAGATAACTGCTGCTGCAGTTGTTGGTGGTGCATTGTAGATTCCCATTAATCTAGTCTGCTGTCAATCAATACATGTCACCACTGCAAGAAATTATTCATAACATTTCTCTTCATAATCTTAAAGTCTTTAAAAACCTGATTTCTAAGCACCTTTGAAATTATTGATCCACTGGAACCATTCTATAACCGACCCTCGATCATCTCTACTGGAAGCAGCCATGAGATATTAGAAATATATTTACTTATTGAACAAATAACTCGGTTAATGGAAAAAATCATTAGCTGCTTTACAACTGTAGCATAGGTTACACCACAGCATTGCCATTAACACCAAAAATGATGTCATGAATTTTTATATTCAAATTGGGGGCAGTCGGGTAGCCTAGTGGTTAAAGCGTTCGCTTGTCATGCCGATGACCTGGGTTTGATACCCGACATGGGTACAATGTGTGAAGCCCATTTCTGGTGCCCCCGCCGTGATATTGCTGGGATATTGCTAAAAGTGGCGTAAAACCATACTCACTCATCATAATATTCCAATTGGAAAAAAATGTATGATTTTCACAGAATAATTATTTTAACATCCCTAAAACAGCTAACCAAACTCTGATACTGATTCAGATGACAATCATGAATCTCCAAATGTAATCACAGATCTAAACACGTTTGCCGTTTATGTAACCTCCAGTTATCTGTGTAAGTTTGAACACCCCTTAGAGGTAATGTAATGGACACTGTTACATCACAAAAGGTGGAGAGTTTTAAAGGTTTTATGTCAACTAATCAATTAAAGTTCCTGAAAGAAACACTAATAGCAGCTCATCACTGTCAGATTGACTCATTGCCTGATGGGAACAAGATGATAACAATCTGCTTGAAGGAATACAACAGATTCATGCCAAGCCTGCTTTAACTCCAAAGCCTGCGTTGCTAACATAATAGGTCCCTAAATCTCATCAATGTCCCAATTGGCTTGACCAGTGTGTGTCCATGTGGTCAGCCAGCCCCTCCCACCACACTCTTAGCTGTTACACTCCACCACTAGATATAAGGAGATTTATTAATGACCTGTCATCATGATGAGGCAAAACAATGTTTCATGCATCAAGAGTGAAAACACTACCTGTTTCTGTGTCACAAAAAAGCCCCTCCCAACCAAAAGCTTAATATTCTTGGCCACTATTTAGATGGGGGATATACTGATTTGTCATGATGAATCAAAACGATGTACATTATGAAGAGAAAAAATAAACTCCCTTAATAGCTGACCTACCAATAAAAAATGTTGATACCAACTTGGCACCTTGTTTGCTTGGGGATACATACAGGGTGGTTTTAAGGAATCACTATGTTTAAAGGAGAGAAAAAAAAATGCCTGACTCCCCAAAATGGCTGACCCACCAAAAAAAACCCCCCAAAAGTCTACACTTTCTTGGCCCCTTTTAAGCTGGGGGAGTGTATACAGATGAATATCAAATGCACAATGAATGAAAACAATGTTTAATTTAAAGCGTAAAGAGCCAACCTGTCTGACTCCCTAAAGTTGCCCCTTCCAAAAAAATGCAGCCTCACATCCGAGCCGGCCCCTTTTTAAATAGGGGTACACACAGATTTGTCATCATGATGAATCAATGATGTTAAATATCAGAGTAAACATAATACCTGTCTGACTCCCTAAAGTTGCCCCTCCCAACAAAATGCAGCCTAACACCCAAACTGGCCCCTTTTTAGATAGGGGTACACACAGACTTGTCATGACAACGAATCAAATGATGTTAAATACCAGAGTAAAAGTAATACCTGTTCCCATGGTCTAACACCCCAATAGGTGATCTCTCCCACCTGAACCGAGGCACCCCACCCTCACCTTGCCCTCTCCCCTTCAGACAGTGACTTGTGGGTTAGGCACCCTCCTCACTACTGGCAACAATTCCTAACACCTAATCTCGTCAATAGACAAATCATTGGATCTCCAGCTGTGTTGGCCCTGCTTCTCCACCCGAGATTCCTCTGTCACCCCTCACCCCCCCCTCACTGTCTCACCCCCCTACGGGCTCACTGAGCCTGTAATCTGTGGAGACAGCAGCTAGTAATCTGTGTTTGTAACCTGCGAGTTAACTGCCGACTCGGCTAGGCTGTAAAAACACTGACAACACGTGCTGAACTTTGATCAACAAACGAGAGCTTTTTAGCGGGGCTTGTCAAAAGAGGGTACACTAGCAGGTGAAAAGCGTTAAAGATGGGCCCCCACAGTCCACAGGAGGGACTGTCACCCCCTAAATCCCCACCCCCCTGCCTCTATGAGGTGTGAAGGGAAGGAGCAAGTGAAATCAGCAGGCACACGTACTTACGTTCAATCATCGTCAATTACTGGTCCATTACACTGCTTCTTGCCCTGTCAATGACTCTAAGCCGGCGGTAGTACTTGCGTATGATCACCGGATCATTCCCAATCGGACTATCACAGTCAGAGGCTGGTGATGCATGCAGTATAACAATAGAGCCAGCTAGCCGGTAGGGTCTGGCTGACAGTCTTGCTAGGCTAATTCCTGGTTTTGCTTGTCTCCCAGTGATCCTACAATTAGCTGAGAAAGTGTGCTGTGGTCTTGCAAACATACACTAGGCCGTCTTCCTTCTCTCTTAGTGCTCGATGTGAGAACGGTAATTCTATCCTCATTCCAACCATCAGCTCGTCTCAATTGCTTTGCCCCACACCAGTTATCTCCCCTTGGCCGTGTATCAATCAATCGCCTGAGCTGTGACCCTCACAAGTCTCGTTGCCTCTCCTTCGCCTGGCCCATTCCACTTCAATCAAAAGCCGGCTCTCGTCTTCTCTGTGGGTTCTGGATTCACCAGTGTTAAAATAGCTGCTACAGCAGAGCTAGCATATCAATTAGAGATAAGCTCTATACACACTGCCACGTTACAATGGAGTCAGTGACATACTGCATGTACTTCAACTCCCCCCCTACCCCACCATTAAATAGGCGCTGCCTTACAATCACAGGCAAGGTGCCACCCGGTCCCTCGCTATAACGCGGTACTAATCAATTTCAACCTCTCATCCTACAATCATAACATGTCATTAACCAGGCATGAAAGAATGATTGTAGATACCACTATTAACGATATGCCAATCGAGAGATGTCATACAGCCTACGCACTACAAGCCTTATAACAGTTCACAGTGTGTATATTGTTAGACATGCTCGCAGTCTGATCAACAAATTTGAATGTTGCGCTTTAATCTGTGATAAACGCAAACATGATCCACTCGGAGAAGGGTGAATGCACATCGCTGCTGTGGAAATAAGGCTATAATTCGCCTGTCATTATCGTCTCTGATACAATCGCCATTATATCTCGTCATGTATATATCACCTCATAATCACGGTTATCACGAGTAGTATCAATATTGATAAATGATAACAAGGATGATACAGTAATTAATCAAATTAGATCCTGAAATAAAGAAATTGAAAATTCCAGAGATCTATGTGCAAGAAATTGATGTTATTTTCCTATTTTTTTCTCAACTCCTGAAAAATGACAATGCAATTTGCTACAATGTTTAGGCTGTCAGACCTGCTTATCTTATGTACTATTTCTTTCTGTTGCATGAGATGATAATGTATCACATTCTTCCTTCTGTCAATGAACAATTTCAGGCTGATCCATTATCAAGTTCTGAGAAACAAATCTTGCATGTCTTTTTCAGAAATTTTCTCCTTCAATCATATCAGACAATTTCTGACTCAATCAGATTTCTGATCAAAACATAAAGATATTACAAATATTCTTCTTTCTCTAAAAAAATATTACAAAATTATTCGGGTGACAAAAATCAAATAAATAATTTAAAAAACCACAATAATTAATTGTTTAATCATTCTGAATTTTAATGACTTACCCGGTAAGAATAAAATTACCACCATTTCAAAAAACATCACATCTACTTTTTCCAGGGCTGCTCTAATAATAAGTTCCTCATTTGTTTGTTTGTTGATGTTTAATTCAGCATTCATCAATATTCCAGCTACATGACAGCAGCCTGTAAATAATAGTCTCGACCATGAAAACAAGTGATTGATATTGTGAGCAACGATCCACGACACACAATCAACCAGGTCATTGAGCCTGACTACCCAATCCATTGAGTCGCTTGTGCAACAACTACAGATTGTTAGGGACAAAATAATAACCAGGAATCAAGACATTAAAATTCCTTAATTGTATAAGCCCTACAGTATGAACTGTTCATGCATTCTGTTGTACAGAAATACTCACTGTGAGCAGAGGATGATACTAAGTATAAATTATATACCTAAAATAGCACATACATTTGTGGAACAGACAAGACAATCATGATGAAAAACCTCACATCTTTCAAAAACATCTAACCACTAGAGGAAGATGATTGGGGAGGTGAGTGGGAGTAATCCTGATGTTGTAGAGGTAGAATCCTCTACCTCAATTTCATCATTGTCAGAAAATACCAGAGGGACAGGTGGGTTCTGCCTTAAGTACACTCCCTGTATAGTTGACAGCAATCCTATAAACCTCTTGAGATTCAATTTTATATTACCATTTCAAAACTCCTTGGATATAATTACCTTGGATTTGCTTTGTTTTGTTTCATGTTTAATGCCACACTCAGCAAAATTCCACCTATTTGAGGTGGTCTGTAAATAATTGAGTATGGACCAGACAAGCCAGTGACTGACATCATGAGCTTCAATCTACACAATTGGGATATGATGACATGCATCAGTGTTCGAAATACCTGCCTGCCCGACCGTCCGAGACGGGTTAATTTCAACTCGGGCTGCCAGATTTTCAAATTCCCCTGCCCGACGGTCGGGTTATATTTTATATGTGAAAATATTCTAAATATTTCCCGATGATAAGCATTAATTCACATGTAAAGATGAATGATAAAATGTAACCAAAAAGAAACCCTGTTAGCTTATCCTGAGAAACACATGATTATAGTGGGCAGGCGGGTTTTGGTCAGGGCTGGCAAGTATTTCAGGACTGGCTGAAATTTTTGGGAGTTTCATACCCTGCATGCATCAACAAAGTCAGCGAGTCTGACCACCCGATTCAGTTGGTCGCCTCTTACAGCAAGCATGGGTTGCTGAAGATCTTTTCTAACCCGGATCTTCACGGATCTAATTACCTTGGAATTGCCTCTAGAGGACTTGAAATCAAGTAGCTTGAATGACTCAGTCCAATATGTGATACCTTCACTTGAATTATCATTATATTTGCTGATATTCAACGAATGATGTCTTCAGTTCTATTCTAACACATCATCTGCTCCCGTTTATGACGGATTGATGTCACTTCCAATCTATCACATTTCCAGATATGAAATCACTTCCTGTCTATGATGTCACTTCCAGTCTTATTTCCCTTCTGATTGTGATGTTGCTTCCGGTTGATCTGTTAGCAACCTCCAACATAGGTTTGATACAGATATACCTTGGTACTCCTTCACTCAGTGGCTAGTGATCCAAGAAAAGGTGTTCTCATTTTCCGTTGCTGCTGATGTCCTTCGATATAACCATCGATCATACCTTGGTGGAATTTGTTATCCTGTTGCTGATCGAGCAACAAAATCAGCAACCATGGGGATAGTGGTAGTGCCATCAGCCAGGCCACGTCGGTTCCTCCATTGGACAAATTTGTCCCATGGTTGTCATAAATGAGTGAGGAGGAAGGTCTCCATGGTCTTGCCACAGCTGAAGAGGCAGAGGCAGATTCAGAGAACCCCAAACATGCATCTTTTGCAAGATACTTTCCAGGCGGTGATATGGAGGCTAGGAAGAGAGGTGTAAACATGTCAGACCTGGTGCAGAAGATCTCAGCGAAGTGGAAAGTGGAGAGGATCATCAATCAGGAGAGCTGAGCCTGGGAAACCAGGTCCTGCTCTGCAAGACTGAAGTGATGAGGATGACCATGCATTCCGTCACCTCCAAATTCTGAATCACTTTGTCTTGGAGAAGCCATGGAGGGAATGCACAATAGCGTAATTTTAGGGTCAAAAGCATAATTATTACTCCAAAAGTGTAATGGAAAGCATCTCTGTGAGAGGAATCCCCAACATGGCATGATTTGCGCGAAATCCAACAGGACAGATTGTGATGGAGGTGGAGAGGTACCCGGGAGTCCCGAGCCAGCAGTCGAAGGTCAATCCAGTTCAGCAGATGGGGTAACTGTAACTGGCCCCTGTGAGTCATATCTTGCAGAAAGCACAATGTTCCCAAGAGAGACTACCAACATCTGATCGAGTGAGTTGGTTGATTCAGTACTGTGTGGATATCATCATAAGAGACTTGGTAAACAGATCCTCTGGAGGACTGAGATATCCTATGTGTAGGAAAAATCTGGCCCTGATGTAAGCAATGTCCTGTACCATCAAGACTTCCGATTTGGATGGATGGATGATGAATCCAAGATAAGTCAGGAATTGAGTGAGGAAGATCACATTCTGTCGTAGTTGGGCAACTTCATGTACAGCCACAAGAAAGTTGTCCAGGTACCTGTGCAGAAACGCCATTTGAAGATGGGCAAAGATCCAGGTGAAGAGATCCAGGTGAAGAGCCAAGGCGCTATCAAAATCTCAAAGGGCAAGACCTACAACTCATAGCATCGATCGTTTACCAGAAAATAGAGGAATTTCTGTGATGTGCGATGAATTGGCACAGGCTTCTTGTAAGTCAAGGCTGATGACCCAATCTCCTGTTTGAAGGGACCAATGCAGCTTTGGAACAGATTCCATCTGGAGTTTGAGAGGTGGGACCAAATATGACTTGTTGAGGGTATTGAGGGCTCGATGATCATCCTCATTTCTTCGGGACTAAGAAGACAGGAGAGTAAAAACCCTGGCTGTCGTCAGAATGTTGAATGGCCAATTTGGCGATCAAAGTCCTGAAGCATGGCTGCCTCCATGTTGGCCCCCACTGGATGAAATCTGCGACCAATAGGGCGGGATACAAGGTGTGGATGCTTGTTGAAGTGCCCTTGTACCTGTGAAAAAAAGTCGAAAATCAATAAGTTGGACGTAATGTGTGTCCAAATTTTGCCGTATCGAAAAAGACGCCCTCCCACTGGGCCTAGCGATGGTGTTACATTGAAAAGCAGTAAGCATCTATCAGTGTCCGTAGACAAAGCCAGGTTGAAAGCATCTGTGATGATGGAAGGAGCAGGGGTAGAGTCATTTACAGTCGCCCCAACCTCCGAACTTGAAGCCTGTTTGTCCTGATCCACAATGCTTGGAGTCTGACGGATGAAAAACTCAGAGGGACCCTGGGAATGGCAATGACGACGAGAGGTCTGAAAGGACTCCTTCCATGACAGTATGAATTTCTCCCGAGTTGGTTCGCGGAATGTAGAATCCTTGGAAGAATCATATGACCATTTAGGAAGAAACAATTTGCCGTGGACCTTGATAAACTTGGCGGAGACTTGAAAACATTCAGTCGTATCTTAACGGACTTCATCAATCAAATTTACCAAGCTTGTCCTTAAAAAGCTTCCGAGCTGTAATGGGCGAAGACATGACCATCCATTTGGCTTGAGTGGAAACATCCCTTGACCTGATCTGCACAAGGAGCTGCTGGCACTGTAACCCGAGGAGCTGGGAAGATGTCCAGACTTGTGTTGTCAGCAATTCCTCCTGATGCGAATGATCATGTCGGGTAGACTGTAAATAGGTCTGATCTGATCAGTGTTAAAGGGCATCATTGTAAGAAGGTGACAATGGAGGCATGGCATGGCATGGCGAATCTCGGCAACAAACCAGTTGAGATACGTGCCCAGACCCATGGAGTATCTTGTAATCGTCAATAAATCCTTCACACGGCTGGCAGGGACAGTAACTTTCATATTTGGATTCTTGACTAATTTGAGAAGCTGGTCATT